TTCGGAAAACAAAGAGTGGAACAGGCTAGCAAGTGTGCAGGTGTGCGTCATATGAGAGGCCCCGCCTTACATCTTCCGCCACAGGTTTGGGGAAATTGGTCCGTGCGCAAAGCATTGTGGGGATTTTAAGGCCGCGAAGTCTACTCATGTGCACACTCGATATTTCTCCAAACGGAGTACGCCGGGCTCGGTAGATTTCCAAGTATACTGGAGATTGGAACAGTACTTCGGCGGCACTCGATGACGTAGTATGCTTGAAATAGTGGCTCTGAAGCAGCTTTACTCGCGATTGAGAAACACCCAGGGGGTGAACACTTTTCAAAAATAAAACAGGAAACCAGAGACAGAATAAGACAAGACAAAACACAACACAGACAGATCGTGACAAGCTGACTGTTGTCTCCAATTAAATCTCAAACAAGTCAAACTCTTCAATTCATTCAATCAGATTGTATGGATTTCTGGGTGAGCAACATCCAGCAGTTTGGTCATTAATCCGTTTAGACACGGAAAGACTGATACAACGTCAGACTAAGCTACCTTAATGTATTGAGGTATTGAGGCCAGCTGCTAGCTGAGTCTTCGGCTATATCACTCCCGCTATATTTTCTTAAAAAATATATGGATGACTTTACTGTGCCATAATTGACATACCTAAGTAAAGCCCTGTAAACTGTGATCATTATTGTGTAAAATTGTATTGGTTAGCGTTATCTAAAGTCTCACACGACTGCTGTGCCCTCAACGGAAGTGACGATCGCCGCTGTTAGCTAGTTTTCTAACTATGTAATAGTTAGTTGGACCAAATCATTACAGACTTCTCAATTAATCCAGTCAAATTATTGATGGTGGATTCTTATGGACAATAGTATAGGCGTACATTCATTAAATAGTGTAAAAACCAACATCTCCTTTTTTCCCAGAGCAACCACCATTAGGGCTGGTCCTGCCACTTCCGTAACGGAGCCAAGATGGCCATTGCTTATGTGAGAAGTATCTACTGCTCCACATGCGTTCTCTCAAAACCCCAAATGGCTGCTGTGCCCTTTCCAGAAGGGACGTTTGCCACTGTTAGCTACAACGCAACGTTGTAGTTTATTTTACTTAATTGTTACTTCAATTCATTTCACAACATCAAGTAACCCATTCTATGGTTTAGACGTTGAGTTTACAATGTGGCTCATTGTGATGTATACGTCTCAGTGCAAATGCACTTATGCATTCAAAATAGTAGGTCTATGTACAATTGTAAGTATTGTTGTACACAAACTGAGAAAGAGCACGTTTTAATGTCATGTCATTACTAGCTAATAACTTGTGAAAAATGTTAACTTATGAATACATTGTTTTAATGTCACCAACAGTTGTTGCTAGCTAACCAAACATCTGATAATGATTTTCATTTTACTGAAGAAGAGGCATTGGTTCTTTCTTGGTACCCTTAATGCATGTTGCAAAGATTATGAATTAAAGAAAAACATTTTGTCGTCATTCCGACAAGTGTTTAATCAAAACCTGGGAAAATAACAAAATAAATCTTTCCTTGTTTCAAGTGTGCACCGAAACCACTGCAAAGGAAAAAAAAAATCTTGTTGCAATATAGTGTCTGGCTGCTAACGAATCTTGAAAATCACTGCCATCAGCCGGTAGAGAGATGAGAATGAACTGGGGGAAGGGTTGACGTGCTTTTGATGTGACTCATCCAGAATGCCTAGAATAAATACCTTGGGTACAAAGGTTTAGATGAAGTGACTCAGTACTTCCTGACACATCTTTTCTATATTAGCTACTGCCCTTTTCAAGTCAGCTTATAATCAAAATTGCCAGTGGTTTGAGTCACAGCTGAAAGACAGGCTTCATTTTGCAGGGCTGTTACCCATCCTTTCATGTTGGAGTGTCCCTCATGATGATGGTCACTGAGCCTGGGCAGATGCCAGAACAGATTTACTGGGAAACAGAGGCTGAGGAAGAGAGATATCTGTACCATTAAATGAAATTCTGCCTTTGGAGCGAATATTTGCTACTTTAAAGTTTTGGGTTAAAGCAGCAACTTGTCAACACTCAGCTTTTTTAAGTGCACTGTTTTGCAACTGTATGTTTTGTTTTCTCTGTGGGACTGAAACTAAATGAAAGATCTTTTGTTTGACATTACAAAGAAGGTGATTGTCTGCACTAATAATGCCATTCCACTCTCACCACACTTCATGTTTACTGGGAGATTTGCATAACTACTGCAGAGTATCTTCAAAGACAAAAAAATATCTTTCTCATTATGTATTCTCACAAAGATGACGTCCATCAACAAATGCTTTGAATACACCAAATAAGCGAATGTAGCAATGAAGCAATATAAATACTTCATTTGGAAAAGGTAGCTGTTCGACTGTATAATAATGAGACAATACACTGAAACAGAATGGACAGTGTCTTCTGTAAGAAAACAAATAAAAAGAAGGAGCAAATGAGAAACACATTTGCATGCATGTTAACTGTGCTATCAAATTAAAGGTAGGGTAGGTAAGTTTGAGAAACCGGCTGGAGATACACTTTTTGTTATATTCCATGGAATGCTCTTAACATCCCGATAGCAATGAATATCTTAAGTGCTTTGACAAGAAATCCATAAAAAAATGTCATCTGTGGAAGCCGTAGTACTGTAAAAAGCACGACGAATCATCTGAGCCGGCCGGCTAAAATAACTGGAAGGCCTACCTGCCTGTCAGCCTTCCATCTGTGCACAAACTTATCTCGTGCCCTCATTGGTCATGTGCGCGTTCGTGTGTGTTAGAGGAGGGGCTCTATAAGGAAGTGGCAGATTTTCTCCGGTTGTGTATTTTCAAATTCTAGCGATCTCGAGCCGGTTTCTCAAATGTACCTACCCTACCTTTAAGTCGCGATATTGACAACAAAAATAATAAGTAAAATAATAATTTTTTCAACTGATATTGTTTGAAGGCTGCATTCGAAAACAGTTTGGTTGTCAAAATGGCAGGACAAATTTGTACGTTGATTAATTGTTAGAATTTGTACCTTTTCAGTACTGTTTGCGTGGTTGACATATGCAAACACTCTCCAACGGCGTTCCTTTAGGAAAGACACGGTGCAGTTTTGAAAACGCTGTAAATATAAAACCACTAATGTTCCAAAATGAAAGTTTTATCCGCTTATTTTAACAATGTGATCGCATGATTTATTAAGAAATTATTGCATATTTGCTGTAAGCTAGCTAGCTAACGTAGCTAACCTAGTCATTTCAGATATACTGACAAAACACTTACAGTTATGAAACAGTTGGCCAACTTTATAATCCCCAAACGTCACCAAGCGCTCCGGTCCCAGCTGTGTCTTTTGTATTCCCAGTGTTTCTTTTACGCTTTTAGTAAATGCTGTGCATGTATCGTAACGTTGGTGAACACGTCTCTTCATTTGCATGTGTTTTGGCACATTTGCGTCCTGTTATAAACTGCAGCGCGTTTCTCCTAATGGAAGTGTTTTCAGCCACCTTATTTTATATGTAGTGAATCAATACTAAAATGAAAAGTCAAATGAAATAAGGCTACAAAGGCTTGTCTGAAATCAATGTGTCTTTTTTTTTACTTTGTTTATTGATCAAACAATATCTACTGACACTGACAGATTATTCAATTACACTTCATAGAGAGAAAACAAACAAATATATTGTTTTCTCATTTACTGTCCATCACTTCGACTCACAGAGTATCTAGGACACAAACAATTTTACATCTCATCATTTTTATGATGGAAGATACAAAGGGATCCTACAAGCATGTGGCATGGATTCAGTTTATAAGAGTATTTTCTCACATGCAATCATGTTTTTCTTTTCATTGCACTGGAGGAAAACCTAATTTGGATCAATATGTGATGGGTGATGCTGCCATGTATGCACCGGAGCATGCAAATTGTCTTTGGATGCATTCCACTCCAAAAAGCACTCTTAAAGAAGCAGATCTATATAATCCACATTGACTGCAGTACATGATTCACACATGGAGTGTTGCATCTTTTTTCAATCACTTCGGTTGGTTTTGAAAAATACTTCAATGTTTTGGACTCTCAATATATAACTATTATTGAAACTCTTTTGAAAACATACAAAAAATAGATTCAGTGAAGCTTTAAATTGTTTCAGGTTATGTTCTGTAATGTACTGCCTGAGAAGCTTCCATGTGAGTGGGAGTCATTCATTCCTTGTAATATCTAACCAGGCTGCATGCATAATCATTTATAATGGCAGTCCGCAGTAGGGGTCCACTAATGCTAATACTAAGTCTGGCACTTTAAGCTTAGAACTTGATGAAAAGTAATAATGCATGTAATTGAAGTATTTCAACTCCGAAATAGCACCTTAATTAATACTTGAAGAAGAAATGAATCAGAATTTCTATCAAAATATGTTTTTACCCTCTAACCCTGCTTCTCTCTTAGTTTATACTCTCCATTGCATCAGCGCAAAAATAACTCCATTTACATTTGTTTTTTTATTATGCTTTTTAATCATGTAATCCCTTTTTCTGCCATTGTACAGCATTTCACAAGTATTGCTTCAGCAGCAGCTTTGCATTTTACATCATGGTAATAAGGTTTACATCATGGTAATAAGGGATTTTTACAAATGTAGCACACTTCACTGGACCACCACAGACAGCTGCTTCTGCACATGAGTTATACACGGATACTGTTTTAATGTTAAGCTCTCACAAAGTCAACTAACCCACAGATATACAAGGCAAAATCCTAATTTAAGGCCTGGGGTTTAAGATACTGTTTATGTTGTACAAGCCCTTTCTGAATCTAGATATATGTTGCAACAATATTTATACCCTATCCTCCCCAGCTCCATACTATTTCAAATGCATTCTGTGTATACCTGTTGTTCTGCCCTTACAGCGCGTATCCCTATGCGTAGCTAGACAGTTAGCTAACATTTAAAAGTCCTCCAATAAAGATGCATGGTTTTCTTTCTTGACTTTACTATTCTTCTTTTACTTTGTAAAACTGTAACAATACAGAAATAAAACACATATAAGTATGCAGGCTTTACATAACATATAAGTAGCATTGTACAAACGACACACATACTACTATTAAAGGAATTAGCTATCATTAGCATCACTATTAGCTAGAAATAGCACAGATCACCATTAGCTCAATTAGCACACATTAAACTAGCTTCAGACCAAAAGTTACACACTTCAAACATTCTGCACATGAATAACTCACAGACAAATAGTCTCCAAGGCTCAAGCATCACAGACACGAACACAGTTTACATGACGTCTCTGCTCCATGTGTTGATCTCCGTGCTCCGTTTACAAAGATCCTCGCAAAGCAGCAAGCGCTCACTCTGACAAGCCCCCAGCAAACCAACAAAACCAAGGAGCGCTCACTCTGAGCCAAAAAACATGTCCCAACTCTATAAACATAGAAATAGGCAGCACACTCCCCGCTTGAGATAATAACATTATATCACGACAAATACAATTGAACTTGAAAGGGAATGTCCACTGAAAACAACATATTAAGAGTTCTTTCTCTAAGACTCTGCAAGAAGGACAACAATTTCTGTTACAGGCCTAAGGAACACCTTGGCTGTCCCGTCCTTCACAATCCGCACTTCTACTTTGCGGACCCTCTTGTCACTGCTTGGAAAAGTCTTAACAACCAATCCCATTGGCCATTCGTTCCTATGGGCTTGACTGTCTTTGAGAAGGACGACGTCTCCTTCTTTGACGTTCGGCTTGTCTTGCGTCCACTTCCTGCGGCTCTGCAGAGTAGACAGATACTCTCCTTTCCATCTCTTCCAAAAGGTGTCGGCAAGGCACTGAACTTGCTTCCATTGCTTTCCGAACAACTGAGCTGTATCGAAGTTTCCAGGAGGTGCTGAAACTGCACTCATTTTTTGAGTCAGGAGCATTGAGGGGGTTAGAACTGCAGGCATATCTGGGTCAGTAGACACAGACACAAGGGGTCTTGCGTTGATGATCGCCATCACCTCTGCCATGAAAGTGCTCAAAACCTCATGTGTAAGACGTACTGATCCCGTCTGAAGCAACATTGCATCCAGAATGCGCCTGGCTACTCCGATGAGCCGCTCCCAGGAACCACCCATGTGGGAGGCATGAGGGGGGTTGAAAACCCAAGAGCATCCTTTCTCCTGGAGGTACTTCCTGATTAATGTGTCGTCTGTGTTAATCCTTAACTCTTTTGAAGCCCCGACGAAGTTAGTCCCTCTGTCAGAGCGCAGGAGCTTTGCTGGACCACGAACAGAGAAAAATCTTCTTAAGGCATTGATAAAACTGTCTGTTGACATGGATTCAATCAGTTCAATATGCACCGCTCTGGTAGACATGCATGTGAAGAGCAAAGCCCAGCGTTTGCTGTCTGCAGCCCCTCCTCTTGTGCGTCGTGTCATGACCAACCACGGCCCAAAAACATCCAGTCCAACATTGGTGAACGGAGGTTCGGGGTGTTAGTCTGTCAGCTGGCAGATCCGCCATCTTCTGATCTTCCAACCTTCCTCGCAATTTGCGGCAGGTAACACACTTGTGGATGACAGAAGATACCAGATGTTTACTCCCAACTATCCAGTATCCAGCTGCTCGAATAGCTCCTTCTGTAAAGTGTCGCCCTTGGTGAGCTACTTTTTCATGGAAGTATCTGACAAGCAGTGTGGCGATGTGATGATTGCGTGGAATGATCAGAGGGTGTTTTTCTTCTTCTGACAGCTCAGCCAATGAAAGACGACCTCCAACACGAAGAAGACCATCTTTATCCACAAATGGATTGAGCTTCTCAAGTGTGTTTTGCTTGGACCAAGTCTGTCCGTCTTCAAGACATTTGAATTCCTCTTTGAAGGCCTTGTGCTGGACAGAGCGGATGATCAAAACCTTGGCTTGTGAGAGTTCACTTATGCTGATTGTTTCTCCGAAACATTCCCATCCTTTCTTTCTTGCTTCGTCAGCCTTGCTTTTGAAGGAAGCGGCAACATGAATGAGTCTGGCTATGATCTGACAGAGCTTTTGCCAGCTTGAGCATCGCTCAAAGTGTTGAGAGCTCAACATGAACTCTGATACCTTGGTTGCCAGTGTAGACACTTCAGGACGTATCTCGTTGTCGGCTTCAGGCTCAATAAGGCTGAAGAGGTAAGGTTCAAGTGTCTCTACTGATGTATCCTGATACAGGAAGGCCGGACCTGGGAGCCAGCTGCTGTGTTGGAGTTGAGCTGCAGGTATAGACCTGGTGGCATGATCTGCAGGATTCAGGTCTGTTGGCACATAGAACCATTGGTCTGGGTTGGAGGATCTCCTTATCTGAGTCACTCTGTTGGAAACATACATGTAAAACCTTCTTGTGCAGTTGTGTATATATCCAAGCACAATCTTGCTGTCAGTGAAGAACTTCACTGCATCTACTTCAATGTCTATCTCATCTCGGATCAGCTCGTAAAGTTCCACAGCTAGCACAGCTGCACAGAGCTCCAGACGTGGAACAGTGTGGGCAGGGCGAGGTGCCAATTTTGACTTCCCCATGACAAATCCAACATGATAATGACCTTCAACATCAGCAGCTCTCAAGTACGCCACAGCTCCTATGGCAATAGTGGAAGCATCTGAGAAGATGCACAGTTCCTTTCTCTGTGTTGAGGCAAGTGAGATTGGAATGTAACACCTCTTGATGTGCAGCTCTTCAAGAGCCTTCAGTGAGTCCTTCCACTGGTTCCACTCTGTTTCCATTTTTGGGAGGAGAGGAGCATCCCACTCACTCTGTTCAGATGACAGTTCTCGGACTAGAGCTTTCCCTTTCATTGTTATAGGAGCTACAAACCCCAAAGGGTCATACAAACTGTTCACAGTTGACAGCACACCTCTTCGTGTGAATGGTTTCTCTTCACGGGACACCAGGTAAGTGAAACTGTCTGTTTTGTGTACAGTCACAGAGGCTTTGTTGCTTGGTGTGGATATAATAAAGCTTGGATCGTTCTTAATCTTTGCTTGTTGCTGGACAAACTTGGCGAATACAGAGAAAGGAGGGAAGGCTACTCTGTAATCCTCCTTGTACTTGCTTCCAATGCTGGTCCACCTCTCTTGCAGATTATAGGGAAGCTTTTCCACTATTTCTCTTACCCCACGAGCTGTATCTAGGTACGAAAGCCCTGGCAGAGCACCTTCGTCCTTAGCACACTCAAGTTCGAGGAGAATGTCGCCGAGTTCTCTCAGTTTAGCATTGTCTTTGTTGGTGAGCTTCGGAAAGTGTTCTATTTTCTTGAGCAGTGCGTCTTCAATGACCTCTGGCGCCCCATAACACTCTTCAAGACGTTGCCAGACCATGTTCACACCTGCTGCAGGATTGAGTACGTGTACTGCACGAATTCTCTTTGCTTGTTGCATGGAGTCGGGCCCTAGCCACTTAGTCATCAAATCTAGCTCTTCTCTGGCTGTGAGATTCAAGTCCTTAGTGGCACTTATAAAGGAGGCTTTCCACGACCAGTAATTTTCAGGCTTGTCATCGAATTGAAGAAGACCTGCACTCACCATTTCTTTTCTGATGAGGTATCTTGCGAAGTCTTGTGCACTTTGTGACTCATACTGTTGATCAGCATGCTTCGGAGTACTGTGAGGGTAAGTATTTGATGTCGGTTCATTTTTTAAGTCTTTGTAGACTGACTTAGCTTGAGGTGGTTCAAACGTCTTTATTTTTCTTTCCTGTGCCTCCACTGCTACCTGTGTATGATGCGTTCCGGAACAGGTGTACTGAGACTGAGCTTGAACATATTTGGAAGTGCGTTGGACTGCACTGAAGCGCTCACCTTCAACAATGGGTTCTCGACTTAGCTTCACACTTTCAGCATCTGCTTCTTCATAAGCTGCAGCTTCAGCTTCAGCTGCAGCTGCAGCTCTTTGGCACTGGAGCAGATGTAGACTGGCGTCAAAGTCAGCTTTTTGCTTTTCCAGGTCTGCCCTCTGTTTCATCACGTCAGCTTCTTTTTCAGCATAAGCTAATTGAGCATGAGCTGCTTTTGCCTTGGCATAGGCTTTCGTGGCTGACGAACTTGTTGCTGATGATCGCTGAGACGATCTAGAGGCTGCTCTGGATGAATATGACTTAGCATCAGAGGCTTGAGGATGTTCTTGCCACTTGGCCGTTTGATCCACAGTCTCTGCTTGCTGTTCTCCACTTGCTTCTTTGTGCGTAGTGGTGTCTTCATTATTATAGTTTTTCCCTGAGCGTAGACTCATGTTGGCTGTGTAGTGTACTATTACTTGAACCCGCCGTGCTCTTGTCTTTTTACTGTTCTGCCCTTACAGCGCGTATCCCTATGCGTAGCTAGACAGTTAGCTAACAGCGCGTATCCCTATGCGTAGCTAGACAGTTAGCTAACATTTAAAAGTCCTCCAATAAAGATGCATGGTTTTCTTTCTTGACTTTACTGTTCTTCTTTTACTTTGTAAAACTGTAACAATACAGAAATAAAACACATATAAGTATGCAGGCTTTACATAACATATAAGTAGCATTGTACAAACGACACACATACTACTATTAAAGGAATTAGCTATCATTAGCATCACTATTAGCTAGAAATAGCACAGATCACCATTAGCTCAATTAGCACACATTAAACTAGCTTCAGACCAAAAGTTACACACTTCAAACATTCTGCACATGAATAACTCACAGACAAATAGTCTCCAAGGCTCAAGCATCACAGACACGAACACAGTTTACATGACGTCTCTGCTCCATGTGTTGATCTCCGTGCTCCGTTTACAAAGATCCTCGCAAAGCAGCAAGCGCTCACTCTGACAAGCCCCCAGCAAACCAACAAAACCAAGGAGCGCTCACTCTGAGCCAAAAAACATGTCCCAACTCTATAAACATAGAAATAGGCAGCACACCTGTAATAAATGCAAAATACCCCAATGTCCCCTCTGACTGTAGGATGTATTCAGGGTTGTCAATTAATATATAAGGGAAATTAAAACATATATGCTGAATTTCGACTGCATGCATTAATTACATGAACAGGATTGCTCATGAGTTATAATGCAATGCTATTGAATGAGCTTAGCTGCACTAAACATAAACTTCCCTGGGACATTCATTTAATTAATTATAATTAGTTTCAGCATTGCAAAAAGTTCTACTTATAGCTGTGTGCAGTCTGTTTTGGTCCATGTGTTCATGCTTGGCTCCAAATATTACTGCTTGTGCAGAGCTGGAGCTGCGGGAATTGTCAGGAGTGTCAGGAAATCTTGTTCTGAATTCAAATCTGGAGAAATGTACTTTGCATATTGTAGTTTTTTTACTGTGGTGTGCATTTGTGCACAGCAGCTTAGACTTCTTACACTGACAGAATTGCATAAAGACAGCATAGGCTTGATGGTAAAGTCCATTGTCAATTAAGTAGTTGAGGTGGGACCGAGTCATTGTCTCACAATTAAACCCTAGGTCAAGACGCGCAAGTACAGAGTCTAGACCAAAGTCGTGAACTTTGACTTTTGAGAAGGTCATCTTAATGGAACAAAGTAATTCATTTTCAATTACGTTTATTTTGGTGAAATATGCAAGAAATCAAAGTATCTTAAACAGTTTAACAAACATTTAACATTGCAATTAGTGCCCTTGGAGATTTGATAGTAATGCATTGTGGGTATGCAGTGTGGTTGATGCCATACGACAGCTACTCTATTCAATGTTACCTACATTCAGAAAAACTGTCTTGTATGCAATCTGTTTGTTAACCTAATTTTTTTGCATAGGATTCACAGGTTTTTCATGAAATGTCAAAATGTGAAACCTCCTTATTGTGATGTCTCAAGACATACTTTTCATCAAGTTCTAAGCTTAAAGTGCCAGACTTAAGACAGACAGAGGAGTTTTTGTAGTCACCAGTAAATAGAAGTCATTGTACTGTTGAGAGAATGTCCTTCATGTGCCTAGTACTAATACAGTTCGGAAAGATGTCTGTCATGTAAGTGTCTGAGTGTAAAATAACCAAATGGTACTTTGCAGCAATGGTTGTTACCTGTCTGAGAGATATCATCAATAGTTGTGGAACCGTAAAGATTAAAGATGGGAAAAGATTGCACATGCCATCCTGTGATGCGTTCCAGACTCACTGGATCAGCACAAACACTATCTGACATCCTCGCTGAGATGCAGCAAACTATTTAGCTTTCAAAGGGAGCAAAATCCATATCTTCTGTAACTACCGTCATCTCTTGCATCTCTCTAAATTGCGTGTTGTTGTCCTTTGTGTGCTTTTACCGCAGATAAACTCCACCTGGCGTCTGGACTCTTCTTGCAGCAATGACTCCGTATGTATCCGGAGGGACCGTGTTCACCATCCTGCTCATCTGCAGGTAAGACTGTTTACAGAGATACAACGGCTGAAAGGTAAAGGCAGGGAGTGACATTGGATTTTAATCCATCTAATCTAACAAGACAAGGCTCGGTATGCGGGGATCTGAGCAGTGATGTAATGAAACTAAGTACATTTACTCAAGTACTGTACTTAAATACATTTTTTAGCTACTTTCAGTTTATGCTACTTCTACTCCACTACAACTCAGAGGTAAATGGTGTACTTTTAATCCACTACATTCATGTTGTACCTTTAGTTACTTTACAGATGTGGATGAATGATGTGAAATATAATCAAGTGTTAAATCAGACTTTAGTTCCACCTGGAGTAAATCCACAAGCTACCCTGCAGTATACAAAGTCATTCAAACTAGCTGCACCTTTACCAGCTTCGAGAACACTTTAATGATCAATCATTATAAAACATATCATATATATTATTCTGACATGGGCCAATGTGCATAATGAGTACTTTTACTTTTGGTACTTTAAGTATATATATATATATTTTTTATTAAATATATTTTCTATTGACATTTGGCAGCAAACAATTACACATTGTTTTTTCAAGACATAATATTTGTACATTTTAAGTTTGTCTGTCCGAAATGCCTTTTTCTTTTTTTTACACAAAGATAAAATAAAGACAGTAAAAAGTACGAACAATACTAACATTAGGGAGTGATTTCACAGTAAAATCATACGTTTGTAAAAATCAAATCTGGCCTATGAGGTTTTACGAAATCAGTCCACTTTCTCCATCGTGACACAAATAGTTCCAGTTTGTGATTGACAGATGATGTTATCCTCTCCATTTTGTAAATGTCCATTGTAATATCCATCCATGCGTTTAAAGTTGGGCTATCAGGTGATAACCACTTCTTTGTAAAAGCTTTTTTACTCGCCACCAGCAACAGATTTAATAAATATTTGTCTTTTTTAGTCCATTCTTGAGGTATGAGTCCAAAGAACAACGTCTTACTCTCCATAGGCACATGCCATTTGAAAATATCTTGTAAGGCTTTATGTATCTCTCTCCAAAAGACCTCAATAACAGGGCAGTCCCAGAAAACGTGATAATGATTTGCATTTGAATTTCCACATTTTCTCCAGCAGTCTGGGGAGTTACCACCATAGTGAGACTTCTGAGAGGCTTTTCCAACCAAACTCCCTCCAGTTATGTGAACTGGTACATTTCCACTGATATTTCCATATTGTTGTCCATTCCTCCTCAGATATGATAACCCCTCCTTCCTTCTCCCACTTGGATTTCACATATATGGTTGAGTGTATTTTAAGATTCAACATTCGATAGAACTCGATTTCATACATACATGAAATAACTTTGCTATCTGTTTTTGAATCGTATGCTTTTTTAAATAGTTCTATCACACCTGTACTTGACTCTGTTATAGTTTTAACCTTTTTGTTAACATAATGCCGCATCTGTAAGTATCGATAGAAGTCTTGTTTTTCTAATAGGAATGTCTCTTTAAGCATTTCAAAACTAAACAGCATTCCCTCTTTAATTATGTTGCAAAGAGCAGTTATTCCTTTGACTGTCCAATCCTTGAATCTAGTGTCTCATTTATTAGGAGTAAAGTTGTTGTCAAATGCACACCATTTCAGAATTGTAATATGTTCCTCTAATTTATACTCAGTTATGACTGTGTTCCATACTTTAAGAGTCAGTTTTACCCATGGATTTTCAATGTTATGTATGTAGCCCTGTAGGTCGCTGTCAGCTATGATTGCTTGTATGGGAATGGATAATATTTTCTCTTCCATGGTTTTCCATTGGGCATCATACGATGGATTGCACCAGCATACCATGGGCCTCAGCTGTGCGGCCCGGTAATACTCTTCAGGGAAGGTAGAGCCCACCCCCCCTTTTCTTTTGCTAATTTCGAGTTTTAAAACAAATTCTAGGTCTTTTAGCCTGCCATATATACCTTGATATTATTCTGTCCCACTCGTTAAATTGTTTTTGGTTAATCTCTAAGGTCTGGAACAAATAAAGTAGTCTTGGCAGTATGTTCATTTTGATGGATTCAATTCTTGAGCTGAGACTAAAGAAAGGGATTAGGTTCCATCTAGCTATGTCCTCCTTAATCTTTTTGTTTAAAGGTGAGTAATTGTATTCTGATATTTATGAAAGATCCTTTGGTATTATAACGCCTAAATATTTGAAATGCTCTGTGTGCCATGCCAAAGGGTATCTATTTCTAATTTCACCTGGTGGGCTGTAGTTGTAAGTAAGCAATTGTGTTTTAGCAATATTGACCTTGTATCCTGACAGTCGACCATATTGTTCAAGTGATTGCATCAATTTAGGGAGAGAGTTTGTTGGTTGAGCCAAAATAAACTAAATGTCGTCCACGTAGCAAGCCAGTTTGTGTTCCCGCCCGTGATTAGTAATTCCCCTAATCTCTTCATTTTGTCTTATGTATTGAGCCAATGGTTCCAAGTATAGTGCGAAGAGTAGCGGTGACCATGCACAGCCTTGTCTCGAGCCTCTTTCGAGGGTAATGCTATTTGACAAATATCCATTAACTTTCATTCTAGCAGTGGGCTTGTTATATAATGCCTGTACAGTTTTAATAATTGTGTCATGTATACCAAATCTATGTAGAACTCGATGGAGAAAATCCCAATTTAACGAGTCAAAAGCCTATTCAGCATCCACGCTTATCACTTTAAGTATATTTTGATGCTAATACTTTATACTTTAGTAAACATTTTAATGTAGGACATTTACTTGTAACATAGTATTCCTACACTATGGTACTTCTACTTTTACTTAAGTACAAGATCTGAGTACCTCTAGATCTGAGATGAATATAGGAAGTTACTCAATAGCAACTCCTCATGCATGTGATAACAAAATAAATTCCAAGGCCACTTCCAAGCGCTGCTGTGCATAGCTGATGAAGCAGGATCGGCACCACATGTTATAGTCATTGCATACAATTGTTGTTATAATCCCTTCAGAGGTCATACAGAGAGACTGATGGGATGTTTTGGTCCGTTACCATGAAGAGAAGCTTCTCCTCTTCTTACATTTTCAAAGCACAGAATGCACTTTGCACATTCTCGATAAGGCTAACCCTCTGGGCCTGGCTGAAGCCTGCTGTAAGAGATTCTGTGTATAGTGTATCAGCTCTGGGATTAATGTGCTGAAGTTGGTCGCCTGCTACACTAGCATGTTGCCAAATGCATACTTCTCTGTCCAAACGACATATGCCAGTTGGAGACCATTCCAGCATTACATTAATTCATTTCAGGAAGCTGTGACCCCTCAAAGATTCAATGTAGATTTCTTGCGCAATGGTCATTGTTATGTTTAAGAATCTTCTATTGTATGTCTAATGAGCCTTATTACCACATTGTGGACTTCAACACACTGGTGCATGCCAGTCAAAGCCTTAAAAATATACCTATGTATACGACATCTCTTTTAATGAGAAAAAATTATATAATATATAATTGTTATTGTTAACCTCTTAAGCCCGGCGATCCCCCCATTGGACCCCTCCCACTTTTTTTTTTTTAGATAATGTCTCAGGGCTTCTTAAATTTATGAAACTATTAATGTGTAGCACCAGATTAACGGTAATAATCTCAGCTAACTGAAGATATGAACCATGTTTAGCTAAAAGAAACACAAGAGTAATACCAAGCCTTAGAATTAGCATTTTGCGAAAAAATGCTAACTAATGCTAACGGAGTTTTGCACAGCACTCACTCTCAAAATGCCCTTATTACTTATCGTAACTGCACAAACAAGATATCCGATTAAAGCTGAGACTCCACATATTCCATACATGTAGTGTCATCACTGTACGACCCCGAATTTGCGGAGCTTTCAGCCAGAAAAGAGAAAGTAAACAACATCCGGTTTCAAAAATATTACAATAATTACATCTTACCTTTTTTGATTTGTGATCAAAAGTTGTGTTCAACGGAATAAAAACGCCGCTCAAGGTTAATCCAATGTGTCTGTGTCACGTAGAATTTTTTACTGATAATACATCATCATATTTATGGCAATAAACTGGGTATAAAGTTTTGCAGTCAAGGCTTGTACTTTCAGATGTGCTTCGTTTGTTTCTCTATTACCTCCGCAATGTTTACGTAGATTTTGGAACTGCCCATCGGATTCTATTGGATCTAATGGTTAAGAAAAAGGTGTAAATCACTCAAATCGACCAATGGGTTCCATAGATATGGTCCTGCGTAAAGTATAAATTGTGAATGCCAGCGGCACACACACTACGCACCACACTCTACGCAGTGTTTAGTACGTAAACAAGAGGAATTGCAGCAGCACCCAGAGCGCAGAGCGGACAGCAGATAACGGAGCAGACTACAAGATTGGCGTTTAGGACTTTTGCTATACTTGCTATACTTGTAATAATGGCTTGCAGGAAAGAGATGCTTACGACTTCACAGGCAATGGAAATGGTGACTAATGCTGACAGCGATGCAGACATGTTACCTGTTGATTCTGAGTCAGACGACGAGGACCTCTTGCAGCCAGAACGGAACCCGGAGCGTTGTGACTCTGATGATGAAATTCCACCACGGGAAAGGTATGTAATCTCTCTGTTTTTATCTATTACTTAGTTATTTGGTGTACGATTATTCATATAGTTAATAAATAATTAAGAGGTAATAGAGAAACAAACGAAGCACATCTGAAAGTACAAGCCTTGACTGCAAAACTTTATACCCAGTTTATTGCCATAAATATGATGATGTATTATCAGTAAAAACTTCTACGTGACACAGACACATTGGATTAACCTTGAGCAGCGTTTTTATTCCGTTGAACACAACTTTTGATCGCAAATCAAAAAAGGTAAGATGTAATTATTGTAATATTTTTGAAACCGGATGTTGTTTACTTTCTCTTTTCTGGCTGAAAGCTCCGCAAATTCGGGGTCGTACAGTGATGACACTACATGTATGGAATATGTGGAGTCTCAGCTTTAATCGG